AAACAATTCAATTCAATCATTCAATTCAATTTATTTGTGATAGCGGCCAATTCATAACAGAGTTATTCTCAGGACACTTTCAAATAGAGCAGGCTAACGAACTCGCTTATAACATTTACAGAACCCGAACAGTACCACCAGAGCAAGACCTTGGCAACAGGGCAAGAAAAATGCCTGTTTAACAGGCAGAAACCTAGGACAGACAGTTCGGGGGAAGACGAGAAAGAGAAGAGAGAGAACAGAGAGAGAGAAACAGAGAGAGACAGACAGATGTACAGCAAACAACAGGTAGCAACACTACATTAATAGTAATGGATCGATGGACGGTCATGAAAAAGACGGATGACGATGGACGCAGAACGATGGTGACAGCGAGCAAGCGACAGACGAGTAACTGTAGCAATTAAGTAATACTTAATATAACTAATAATAATAACAATAATATCAGTGATTTTAGCAATGGGGTCAAGCAGGACCATGCAGGAGGCGTCCACCAGGGATCATGAGAACCTGCAAGACGATAAAGCAACAAGAACTCCGGGGAAGGAAGTGAAGTTAGTAACATGCATAATGGGACGATGAATGAGTGCAGAAAGAAAGGAGAAGGAAGGAGAGGAGCTGCAGTGCCCATGGGAGATCCCCGTAGTCTAGGCAGTTATAGCAGCAGTAACTATGAGGGATGGTTCAGGACTTCACCTGATCCGCCCTAACTATAAGCTTTATCAAAGGTCTTAAGCCTACTCTTAAATGTGAAGAGGGTGTCTGCCTCCCGAACCACAGCTGGAAGCTGGTTCCACAAGAGAGGAGCTTGCAAACCCTGAGTCACCAAAGACATCAAGATCCTCCTGATAGAGGCAAGACAAGGAAGGAAGTGAAGGCTCTATTGCCGAAAAAATCACCTAATGATGTCTCACTGTATTTGTACTTTGTAATTGTACTGTATTTTAAAGCCAAAATTGTTAAAATCAACTGAATAAGGATATTTTGACTATAGCAACGGCTGCACATTCAAATGCTGCTACTTAGGTTAGCACCTCACATCACTGTTTCTGTTTTAATCTGTTTTCAGCTTTATTACTGAAACACGTATTACCTACCTCCATTTGAAGCTAGAGGGGAGATACAAATAAGATCTAACACATTCATGGGTACCAACCACATGATAGCATGTCAGGAATTAACGCTGGACTCCTGGATAATGTCACGTCTGGACCAAATGGGACTGGACAAATAATGGTAAATGAGAGACTGTGCCCACATCTTTACAGAGACCAACTCTATCAACATCCCGGATCCTTGAGGGCGGTCTGTGTTTTCATTGATGATGCTTGGTACTCAACTGCAGTCAAAGTGGATGTTTTTATGTGAAGATGAAACCAGATTATTGTCACTATCTTGTTGTTGCTGCTGTTTAAATTCAACCAGATCACCTACACAATTATTTGCTCTATATATATTAATATAAATAACTATTTATATGTATATAAATAACAATAATTGTGTCATGTTGTATGTCTGTGTCGGGGGGTGCTTAGGTTACCCGTCGCTCCACGCTCCGGTCCATTCCACCTGACCCCAGGGGTTCCTCATCCTCACCAGCTTCTCCTGCCGACCCCGGTAGTTCACCTAGAGAGAAAAACAACAACCTTTCATCCTCCTCTTGTTTCAAATCATCTCCTTCTCATCTCACTTTCAGGAAGATACGTTACCTCCACAGCGCCTGTCAGTGAGTAGGCATGGCCTTTCACCAGCTTCTGGGAGGTGATCGCCTCTGAGTCAGCTGAGCTTGTGATCTGAAACAAAATCACAAGTCAAACAAATACTTTAGATAAACAGTGTCCAATGTCCATATAATCTGTTGAGCTTACGTCTATGGAGCAGCCCATCAGGGACCCGCGGCTCTGAGCCTTCTGGATGATGTGGAACAGATGAGGACTGGGTCGACTTAGCTCGTGGACCTCAGCGATCCCTCCGGTAAAATCCTCAAAACCCTCGGTGGTCGATCCTCCAGACAGAGCCTCGTAACAGCCGTTCAACCTGCATCACAACGACGACGTCACAGTGACGTCATGACAACGTCACACGTCAGTAACACCTGAGGACTCGGTGTGTGTACAGTGTGTATTGTGTACAGTGAGTGTGTTTGTGTGAGGGTGGGGCTGTGTGTCCCTGCTGGATAAATAAACGTGAGGAATGCAGTGAGAGGAGGAGGACGTGTAGGAACCTGAACACATCGTTTATTATCACCATGTTAAAGCTGAACTGTGTTACTGGTCACACATGTGGACAGGTGTGGACTATGTGGACAGGTGTGGACTATGTGGACTATGTGGACTATGTGGACAGGTGTGGACAGGTGTGGACAGGTGTGGACAGGTGTGGACAGGTGTGGACAGGTGAACTGCAGTCATTATATGTCTCTGTTCAAAGCCACCAGACTCCATTGACAAAAGCAGTGATTTAAGCCTTCAGAACCGTGACTAGTTCTACCGCTTCCTCGATTCACACAATGACACAGATAGAAACTTAAATCACTCCTTTTGTCAATGGAGTCTGGTGGCTGTGTCGGTCAGACAGCATATAAAAACAGTCTCTGCTTCTCCGTCCACACAACAACTCACAAGCCTGTTTACCAATGTGTTTTCCGATGTGTGTGTTATTGGTTCTTACTTTGCGTAGGCTTTCTCCAGCAGGGCGCTCCAGAACTCCCTCCCCTCCGCCGAGTGGACGAACAGCAGCTCTTCATCTTTAACCGGCAGACAGTCGTCAATCACCACGTCCACCCACTCCCCAAACTGCCAGAACTACACACACACTGCTGGCTTAGCATCAAGACTGGAAACTGATGGGCATGTACTGTGTACTCGTACTGTGTACTCGTACTGTGTATTTGTAC